AGATTCAAACCAGAAACAAACGATACATTCCCTGAGAATGTACGTTTTGATTTTTTATTCAGAGACAATGTTGTATTATTGACCTTATCTGACCTATGGATAATTTGATAAGTTTGAACGAACATTGACTTGACTTTAACGGAGGTTAAAGTGCCTTAATTGACTTAATGTACCGTGAAATAAACGCGTGCCGTATTGTGATCGGATTTTATCCTTATTAGTGGCTGATCACGTCATACTGAGGTCATACTGGAAAATAACAGTTTGAAGTAATCGTTGCCCTTATCTATTCTCGTTAGACGGCCATGAACGCCTTGCCTCGGTAAACGAATTGAAAATACTATGTAAAAGCATGGACTGATAATCCTTTTAAGTTTACACATTACGGATAAAACAGCATCTCAGAAGAATATATTCAAAAGGAAAACTAGAAGCAATTGAATTTTAATTAACAATATGCTGCTTTTTATAAATTATGTTCTTTTAAATAAGACAAATAAAAATCTTAAACTAACTACAAAACATACCTACGCGTTTTAACACTAGCTTTGCTATTCTGCTATTATAAAATAAAACCTATACCTTCTGAAGTAGGTTTTATTTAATACTAGCTTTTCGCCAGCGGCTTCGCCCGCATGGTCTTGTATTATACATAAAAACCTTCCTTTTGAATCACCCTATCTATGAAAAAAAAAAAAAAAACCGCATCAAAATCCGTTGCGTAGTTTTAAAGATTTAAGCATACATAGGGATATAGGGACAGAGAAAGCGACTTTGTTTTATACTATGTAGTGATACACCCGGTTTCTGAATTGAGTATTTAATGTTAAGCACGTCTTAAACTGTACTTAAACGTCACATAAAAAGGAAAAATCTGAAGTTATTAAGAATCAACAGAGAATTTGTACTTTGCTCAATTCAGAAAACCGTCCGTGATTGTCTATGCTATGTTAGCGCTGCGCTCGACGTTGAGTTCGTGGCTGTTTTTATAATAAAATAGCACAGCAGATGTAATAGTACAAAAGTTCAAGGCTATCATCCGACCATGCTACAACAACAATAGCTTAAATAACAAGCATCATACAATCGCTCCGAATTGCTCCCTAGACGCGATATAGAGGTGTGACATTGTCACGACCGCCCAACCGGTCCGGAGCGAAGACCGAACGAGTTTTGTTTTTGTTGTTGCACATTATTAACATAATTTGGGGCCACCTTTGCTGATAGTAACGAGCTACCGTTGTAATGAGGGTGATACCATCACTAAAGCTACAATAACTACACAAATATACATTACTCGTACGAATTAACGTATCCCCTGATGGCCTATTCTATATAACATAATTTCAACTACTTTCGAAATGCTAATATGACTCCAAAGTACCGCATTTTTCGGTAAATTATTTACTCAACGGAGGAAAACCTGACACTGCACCTGTAAAAGCGATTCTATTTTTCTAAATTTTCTTTCGAGGCCAAATAGATGAGGCCTCATATGTTAATTCGTACAAGTTATAAATCACAGACAACCAAATTTTCCAACAAATTAAAAATGAAGTGTCTAAAAATATCTTTCACCACTAATGTATAAAGTAATTAGCTTGGATTATGGTTTTTGGTCCACAGATTTTTTTATTAATTAAAGAACTTATTTGGACTTAAGTTATTCTAAAGCTAGATAGTTTACTTAACACATCTAGTTTGAACATTCAAAAATAATTTTCGAAACAGAATTTTAAAAACATCAATGTGGTGAGAATGTTCTTCAATCTCCTACAACTTAGAACTAAATAAAAAATAACAAAAAAGCTGTGCCTGCACTGACTAAATATTGCCAAAATTATGGTCTATATGTAACTGTTCATTCTTTATAAGTTATAATATTTATTATGACAAATATTATAAAGCAAGCAAGCAAAAGAAAAGGCAATAGAGAATAGCTTTATAACCGCTACGAAAATATAATAAAAAAAACTCTTTTAATAGTATGATATTTTTTAATGCAGTATGAAACTTTCTCATTATACATTGGATACGGTATACATTTACTTAGTATCGGTACATTTTACGCCGATGCAACGAAGAACAGGGGAGCGATTCCGTAAAAACCCGAACAAGAATTCGAATTCACTTGTGTCTGAATTCACGACATTTGGTGTAGAAATTCTATAGATTCAATTTTTTGTTTATAAAATTGATTGATTATAAGTGACTCAGATATTCTATTTCTGGTGGATATGAATTGGTAATATGAAACTCTATTACCAATTCAAGAATACCACTTTTTGAAGTGAATTCGGAGACCTGAATGAATTTGAATTCGGGTTTCGATTTTACAGAATCGCAGTACTGTCATTGCTGATACAAAGTTAGATTTTTCTGTACTTTTGTTAATGGAGCAATAATTGTTATAAATCTAATGTAACAAAGCCATATCTAACGAATAGAATGTTCGAGTTCATAAAATGTTCAACTAACAGCTTAGCCGTGTATAAATTCTTTAAATTACATTATAATACTTACTGATGATTGATGATATTAAAAATTGCCATCGACATGCCCTGTCATAATACTTTTTTTTTAGGAATGAATGTTCTCTCTACAATATAAATTAAAATTGTTAGCGTTACATACAGCAATAAGACTTATTTTATATTTTCTTTGTCTAATTTTATTAACTGTTAAGAAATATCATGACACGCATCTTAGGTATTTAATAGGAAAATGTGAGAACTTTCCGTCTTTTTACAAAACTAATTGATATAATTTTTTATTTTAGATTTTGCATTGACAATCAATAGAATTTAAGACAATTTAGTTCTTACAGTTGAGTGATCTTTAAACAAAAAATAATAATGAGGGTTGAGTTTGAGTTTGGTCCAAAACATATTCTCATAAAACGAACACCACATTTTTTAAATATTATCTGGCAACAGTTACGTTAAGTTAGCGTGAAGGTTTACATTCTCTCGTATAATAAGTGCAACATGCATGCTAGTTTTCCTCTTCAAGTTAAATTAGAAATTCATAATAAATTTTTGAATCGAATATTATTATATCCTCTTGGACAATAATAATGTTATAGGTCCGTAATTATTAATAATTCAGGAGACTGCATTCGTTAGACGAACTTACAAAATCCGCTTTTATTAAATGTAATTTCTTTGATTTCTATAAAAAATTGCTTCAATGTAAATAGCTGACTCATGTAAAATAAATAACCTAGTAACATAATGCAAGCAGCAGTTGTAATGGACGGTTTTTTTATATTTGTGTGCAATGTGCTCACTTTTTTGTAACATGGATACCACTTTGAACGTATTCAGCACGACCTCAATATCTTATAAATTATTATAGCAGGTTTGTAAGGATTATAATATTTATAAGTCTTTACAGTTAATGAAAACTAGAAGATACTTGATGTTATTTGAACTCGATTGTCAAAAGTAACCATACAATATTTAATAGTTTATATTAACAGAACGCGTCGTCGTCTGTTTTGTCTATGCTAATGCTAAAATTCAAATTTCGAACCGGCGCGGTCGTAGCCGCAACGGGCGTCTTATCTTAATCGCGTAACGGCTGTGGAACGCGTGATTTCATATTTAAATTTAAAACCATACAAGGCTCGCGCGGTGACCTTGGATTTTATACGAGGCCACATGCTGAGAACTATTATATGATTTCTCACTAGTCAAAATAGGAAAGTACGAGGAAATATACGCTAAGGATGAATAAATATGGGATGTTATGTAGCCGAAATGTTGTCGACAGATTGGGAACATGTTACTATTTGGACATTACACTGTAAAAGAACAACACTTACGTAAGTTAAGTAGGTATTATCCTAAGAGTAGATCGGAATCTTTGATAAGTACTAACCAACCAAATACAGCGTAAACTACATTATTTGGTAACGATGTCGACTTACCGGCGTATCTTGTAAGTTTAAAGTATTATTTTAACAAATTGTCAAAACAAAATAGTAAGCTTAATAACCAGAATAATCAAATGTTAATCGTAATTGTCGCATGACTTTTATATTGATGCTTTTATTTGGGCGATAAATTGTGCAGCTTGTCACTATTTGAGGAAATAAGTGACAACTTGTCACTGTTTAAGGAAATTTGTGTATAGTTTCATTTGTTTACTGTGTAAAAACGCAGTAAACTTGTGTTCGGATAAAGATAATTTTATTTAATAAATATAATTAATTTCTTTTTGATAAGAGATAAATATATGATATAGAATATAATCTTATAGTAATTTAATAAGGTGTCCTAAATCTTCTAACCCACACAGCAACTAAGACTAAGATAACATAATCTTTCTTTTATATATTTTAAATAGCTTCACGACCTACCTTCCCGATGTCGTCAGTTTTGTTATACTTACTGCTAGATTCAAATTTATCTGTTTATTTATTTAAGAACATTTTTTAAATGTTCTGGTTTTCTATCCAAATTGGTTTCTTTTGGAGTAGGTAGTTTAAGTATTTGTTAACAATACAGTTTTAAAAGACACAACAAGACCATGTCATTATAAGTTATGCGTCGTGAAGTACCTATTTATTTTATCAAGATAAACAATGGCGTCATTTGAAGATAACGATATTGCATGTCCTACAATTTCCAGATTACTTTCTAACAATAGATAAAACTTTAACTTTGGAATATAAAAGATATTCTTTTTTGTATACAGGTCAAAAAGTGCTGTATTAGTTTCAAACGAATCGCTAGCAGGAAAGCCGGACAAGCAAGTAAATATGTGAAGCCGTCACACGTCGGTGCCTCACAGACTGATATCACAATACACTACATTCATAAAAAAAAAAACACATAATATCACAAAAAGTTTTAAACACACTTTTAGTGCGATATTGAACTTTTTAAAACACAGAATCACTGCTTCCTTTTTTTCACGTGCAAACTTTTTACTGTCACCTTGTAAAACGGAAACACAAGTTTGATTATTTACTTTTTAAAAAATATGTGCTTCGCGGCGGTCGGTGACGCGTTCGCGTGCCGGTCGTCATTCGCGGACTGGCCTGGCATGTTATGCCGTTTGCCGGTCTTCCGTTGCCGCTAAGATGATAATGAATTATGATGACTAACGTTTTAGGGATGGGGCAATGAATTAAAAACTTGATTTTAATTGTTCTTGTATAAGAGTTAATTTCGGTTAATTGAAACAGCAAGGGCGGCTTATTAAAACTATAGTAAACAATAATGTAACATGTGAAGCTGTGATGTGTTTCCATCACTTTCAGATGTTTAGTAAATTTGGAAATCTATTTTGGGTTGCCTTTATATGTATATTAGCTTACTGGCTATCTGTCACTATTTGGTTAGATGAGTGCAATTAATTCATACTCTGCGCTGAGTCTCAACCTTGTGATGCGTACAAATTTGATTTGTAAAATGCAATTGAAGCTTTAGTTACTCAATCAGAATGATAAGCAAACTAAATTTTTAACTCCATATTACCACCATATTTTATTAATTTATTAGTAGTTTAGTATTTATATTTGATCGATGTATTTATGATTTAATAATAATACCAAATTTTCGCAAGAGTCTGTAGAAGGCATGTTAAGCCGTTGGTCCCGGCTGCATTTGCAGTCGTTAATACCCTCCAATCTGGATTGAGGCAACGTGGAGCGTCATGGCCGATCCTCCTTAACCATCCATAAAGAAGGCCTGGTGATCCTGCAGTGGGGATCTAAAAGGGCTGATGATGAACCCTGTCGAAAAAGATTTTGGTGCCATAATTACATGCCCCAATATTTTTTTTTTTTTGATATCAAAAACCGGACTATCACTTACTCAATTAAGAAACTATATTATTATTAAAATATTATTAAACCACATCACATACATTGTTCAGATACTAACAAAAGCCCCGTATTATGCAGTATCTGAGACAACGAAGGCACCACTATGTAAAATAGTATAAGTTTTGTAACTAAAACAGTTTTTCGAATTATAGACATCATGTAAAGATACACAATAAGTATGGATATAAAACTCAGTGCTGCATTCCACCGATAAGAATGAAATCTCTCCGATCTTCAATGTTCGCTGCCACGTTTAATCTACCGGAAAACTATTGCTAATGGAAAGAAAGTGCTTGAATAATTACTTTGTCAATCTCTATTAACGTTAAATAAACCTTACCATCGACAATCTTATATGCTGAATTGCTGAGTGGCTTTTGGTGTTTTATTTAGTTCATTGTGGGTCTGGTTTTTCTTATTTAGATTTAGGATATGAACTCTGAATAATAACTTTATAGCTGTTAACTATTTGAATGGGCAATGTATTCTAGATTAACAAATTTTACTGAGAAAAATAAACTCATTAAAAGAGAACAAAATGTTTTCAAAAAGGCAAATCAATCACTCTGGCTGCTTTTTCTCTCATTGAAAACATACTTGAATACGTCGACAAAAGCATATCACTGAACACAATTTTCTTCGACATGAGCAAAGCTACTGAGTGTCTCGTAATTTGCTTCTTCACAAATTGAAGCGATACGGTATCAGGGGTTTGCCTCACAAGTGGTTAAAATCGTATTTGAGCAATAGGTTGCAATATGTCGAAATCTTATACCTTAGTGAGCAAATAACGAAATAAAAATTTTCCAACCTGATGTCAATATAAATTGTCATGGACTTCCACAAGGAAGTATACTTGGACCACTACTATTCTTACTATGCATTAATGATCTACCTGATAATTTAAATTACCCTTGCGTTTTGTTTGCAGATGATAAAATAAATATAACCATTAAGTTATAATATATAAATATAATAATTAGAACAAATTTTCGTCGAAAGTTTAAATATTTGTAAAAATATTTCTTTCGGCTGTTTGGATTGCCTTAACAATGATTAGAATACGCTCTGCAGTACCGAAAAAGTAACAAGTGCTTGAAAGACTCATCAGTCCTGTTAGAGTCTGGGTAGCTCAGTGGTTAGAGCAGTCGCCCGGATTGCGAATGGTCGTGGGTCTCAGAGTGCCAGGGACCAAGTGGATTTTTTAAGCATTTTATTATATATTACTGGTTATCGTTTGAATATAATTGATTTAGTTAGTTTAAAATAAATATTAATATATTTGCATGCCCATAATTTGGTGAATGTGTCGATTAGAAACCCTGTTACTTATATAATAACTTTACTACCACATTCAAGCAAAATAAACTATTATTATTATTAAGAATTTTCAGTTCAGTAGTTTCGAAGCCTATTCAATAAAATGTTTCATATTTATAATATTACCTGTTTTCATCGCCTGCGTAAATTATACAATTTTTCCGCGTATGATGTATCTACACGTCGAATAGATGAAACAATTTTTAAAATTGGTTTGTAGTTCTGGAACTATTCAATGCATGCAATGAAATCCTTCCTCTTAATAAATATTAGTATGGAAAAAAATCAAGAAAGAGTATACATGAGCCTTGCGGTCTAATACAGGTAATTGGATCAATTTCTCTTCGACATACATGCGAACCTCAACACAGTTGACTTTCTTATTGGTTTTATTATAGCTTACTGAGAGCTAGTAATAGCATTCAATTACTTTGTTAATTCTGTAGGTTAGGAGTTAACCGACAATCCATATGTCAGTATATTTTTATCTACGTACTGTGGGAATGAGTTTCTTCAAGTTTTACATTTTATTTTACAGTAGATATAGAATGCTTATTTTGGTGTAATTTCATAATATGAAATTACCACTTTTTAAACATTTTTTTAAGTCTATGCTAATATTTGCCAAATAAATATCATTTTATGAAAATTTAACATATGATCAATTGTTTGCTTAAAAACAGAAGCACAAATTCCAGTAATAGGGATGATGACTAATTTTTGTTTGTTTGTCCGTCAGGTAGAGTGTTAAAAAATATTAAACACGTTTTTTTTTTTTTTTTTGTAATCATAAAATTACGGCGTTACATTGAGTTGAAATTTCGCATGACGTCACGTTAGAGTACGTTTTCTACTCAACTATGACGTAGCGAGCCCTCACTCCTCAACTTTAATGCTTGATATCTAAGCTATTTCTTGTTAAATTGAAGTAAAAAAAAATACGTGTCTAATATTTTTCTATTATCTGAATGACTGACTAAATAGAATTGCATTTTTTTTACCCAGTCATCATCCCTATTGGCTGGATAGAAAAAAATAGCAAAGATGACTCTGATTAGGTTTTTTGGATCGACTTTGGAGTAATATACTTCATCTTAACTACTTAAATAATATACACAAAAATAGGTTTTGATATAATCTACAGTACACAAAAAATAATATAACTGCATTTTTTTTCTGTGACTAAAAATATATGAAATCAAAAAGTCGCGTTTTTACTATCGATGCGTATTTGTATGGGAACGTAAGAGGAGGCACAAGAGCGCCTTAACAGTTGAATGACCATTGTTTGTCAGATCAAATATAGTGCTAATTGTGTGTTACATAGTTAATTCTAAACGGGACACACGATTTAAGGAAAAATATTTAAAACTCTTTATTTGATACCTTTTTCTGTAAGCAATTTAAGAAGCACCACTATCTGCATCAAACTTTTCCGTATTTCTACTATTAGTGGTGATCAAATAGTGATTGAACTATAAGTGGTAATCGTATAAAAAATTTATTTATTGGAACAAATATAAGATCGATATTTCAATACAGAACCATAATTATCCAAAGAGAATTCGACCGCAGCGTAAATATAAACCAACTGAAAAATCCCAGACCATATGAAACTACCAGAACATCTGTCGAACGATTGTCAACACGTGCGTGCCACCCGCCACAAGCTAAATATGGCATTACGTTCAAACAAAACTGGTGAATGAGACAACCAACCCTGCGGACTCATTACGAACAATCAAATAATGTTAAGATTCTTGAAGCAAACTAAAAATAAATGATAAAACTAAAATGTGGACTTTATGCTTAGGATATACATAAAAAGAAAAATTAATACACAATATTCATGTAATTTTGTAATTTACTTTATAAATAAAAAATATTTATTTATGCTAGCTCTGCATCTTTGCACTGCGTGGGAAAGAAAAATTGAAGAATTTGGTAAAATTATTATTATTGTCCCTATTACCTACTAAGCCTCATCATCATCATGAAGTATGTCAAAACACAACATGTCTTATTTCACTTGTTACCAGTGGCGTAGCTACCAAGGGGCTAGGCGGGGCAGTGCCCCGGGGCCCTCAAGCTCAGGGGGCCCTCGAATCTTTACCAGAAAATTTCAATCGAACTCAACTTTTGAAAATTTCTCCCATTTTCAAAATAAATATGACAACTCGAGCTTAATCATGGCAACTCAGTTGTGAGAAATTCCAAAGTTATTAAAAAGGAATTCCCCTAAATTATTTGTGTGGGTTGACAGAGTTATTAATGTTTTCATCAATTTGTCGGATATCCTGCATATCACTATTTATAGATATGCGTTTTTGTGATTCGCAGTTGTGAACTTCGAGTCAAGATTTTTTTTTCGAGAATAGTTGAAAAGTAAATGTATCAGGAGTAAGTAAGTGTATGACAATAAATTTTTTGTACTGGTCCATACAAAAGTTCTATTTTATTTGATTACAGTACGTATACATAGTTACGTAAAGAAATTTCGGCTACTAACTATACAACTCAAAATACCGTGAAAAATACAAATGCGGTAGGGGCCGTCCATTAATTACGTGATGCTTTTTTGTCATTTTTAAATACGGGCCGATGTTGCCGCCAGCACATAAACCGCACCAAACAGTCACTCTTTGTTGGTGCATTGGTTTTTCGACAATCACTCTTGGATTATCATTCGCCCAAATGCGGAAATTCTGTTTATTGACGAATCCACTGAGGTGAAAATGAAGAAGCCTCATCACTGAAGATGATTGTCTTGGACAATTTGGACCATCGGATGGAGGATTGCCGTCGAGGTCGCGGGGGCCATTTGGCCGATATTTTGTTCCAAACATAATTGCGCCATACTATATTATCGTAATAAACAGAAATGACAATAATTTCCTAAATAATTTGTGTTTTATTTAAAATCAACATCGGCCCTTAAAATAAACCACCCGATACTTCTGGGCAAAATATTTCTATTGATAATTTTTGTTAATAGTTTGCATGGCGATAGGTTTAATAACAGTAAGCTGGTGCAACGTATCTATGAATAAATAAATATATAATAAACCCTTGAATCTTTTCTATTTCGTTTTATTGCCCAATACCTACACCAAGTATAAAAATAATGGTAATTTATGTTGTTAGAGTTTAATAGTTTTATTACCTGCCCATGCACGAAAAAGAGCTGATGATAAAGTTGCTTAGCATTTTTAAAGTATTTGTATATTTAATGATTTTACTTCAAAAAACCTTACCAATTTTGATAGCAGTGGGCCCCATTTTTTTATTTGCCCCAGGGCCCTAGGTTACCTAGCTACGCCACTGCTCGTTACATAATATCCGCGTATGATGTAGCTTCCTGTAGGTGAAATAATTTTCATTATCGGACCA